ATGGTTCTTGTGGGGGTGGGAAGAATGTTTTTTTTTTAGTTTTTACTAATTATCTGGATATTGTGATCATTGAATTATTAATTTATGACCAGTAAATAATATGTGATGGGAGAATTTGTAAATGTGACTAAGAATTTGTTAAATTGTGGCCAATTAATTTGATATTTTTTTATCATGAAATATGTTGTGACTTATAAAATTTGTAATATGTGATCGTGAAATAAATTGTGATTTATAAAATTTATGATTTGAGATCAATAAAAAAATTGTGACTTATAAATTTTTTATTTGCGACCGATTAACGAATTGTAACCTATAAAAATTTGAATTGTGAATGTAAAATAATTTGTGACATATAAAAATTTGGATTTGTGATTGAAAAATAATATTTGACTACTTAAATCGTTAATTTGTGATCAAATTGTATAGATCCGTGATCTTAATATACTCAATTAATTAAATATATAATTAATTAATTAAATCATAAATAAAATTTAATAAATATCCGATTTTTTAAATTTGAAATCTCTATTTTTAGTTTTGAAATCGATGATACTTTACCTCTTAATTATGAATTTTTCCAATAGAAAAAAGATAAGGTGAGTAAAACCCAAAAGAAGAATTTTTTATTGGGTAATTATATTTACACCATAATCTTTATTTCCTATACCACATTTTAATTATATTAAAAGTTTTTAATCTTTGCTTATTATAATATTTATATTTTTAACGATTTTTAATGTTATTCTTATTCTCAAACTTTCCATCAATTAACGCATTTTGTTTTTTATAATAGTTTTATGTTCAGAAATTCGTTGAAATAATGTAAAACAACTTATTTTCTCATCATCATTTTAGAAAATGAATAATTAAATTTCTGAAAAATTATTTCCCCCCATTTCAAAGCATGAAAATAAAATATTTTGATTTAAATCATATCAAAAAGAGATATACTAATTAATGAAAGGTTGAGCATTAGAATTCAACATAAAAAGTTCAAAAAATAATTGCTACAATGAGCAAAAATTACGAGCTTAACTGCAATTCAGAAATATAGTATAACAAATTGAAAGTGTAGTGTCAATATAACCACCATTTTTTTCAGGTCTATTTCACTTGTGTAATTATATTCAAACCATAACTATTGTTAACTACATATTTTAATTGTACTGAAGAGTTTCAATTTTTGCTCATTTTCGCACTGTATTCTAGCTTTTTTGGTTAGGTTTTATGTTTAACCTTTAACTAATTAACGCATCTTGTCTTTGATGACTCTTCCTATCTAAATATAGAAAATAAAATAAAATTGTCAAACTTTTGTGTTTATTATTATCCTACTTATTTAAAATAATGATGGACAAAGAAGCTTTTTTTTCCTTCCTACATGTTTTTTGGTCATCATCGACGACAAGATGCGATAATTAATAGAAGGTTGATATGATGAAAAAGATGGAGGTATAAGTGCTAAATAAGATAAAGTTGAAGGTATTCATTAAAATTAAAATGTGGTTAAATTAATAAGAAATGTAGAATAAAATATACTCATTATGATCACTTATATTTATTTGGAAGTATTATTTCAAAATCCTTTTTAATTATTTTGAAACCTCTATAGTCGTACACTTCATGTTACTAAATAATGAAAAATCGTTTTTGTTTGTATTGGTTTTAAGCATGACCAAATAACAAAACGTCAAACGTAAAAAAGAACCCCAAAATTTTTTATCCTAGGGCCCAGTTGTTAAGTTAAATAGTCTATTCATCACATGAACATCCGCGTATGTGATGAACGCTCTAAATTCAATAACACAATCAAAATGTTTAGGATTATAGGCCAATACACAAAGTATAAAATTAGAAAACCTCCAAAATTATATATTCTCTCTTAAACCCTCGTCTTACAAGATTTAATCAACTAACCAAATATTAGTGCTCACCAAGAACAGTGTGTAATCCCTCAAACTCTCCATTTATAATATCTTACATGAAATATATTAGAAATTATATATTACACGAATAAAAAGACGAACAAAGAGAAACAAGACAGAGAACCTTAGAAGACAGCTCTCAAAATGAGATAAATCTCATATTTAAATGAAATAAGCCAATAACTAGCCTCAACGACCACCAATTGGTCACTTGTCATCATCTTAGTATTTAAAGGCATTTTAACTAGTTTGAGGTACAACCCGCGGTTTACCTGATCTACGTGAAGAGGGGATGGATCGTAGATCCCAGGATTAGTCGTTGTAAAGTGGACACCTGGGTATAAAAAAAAAAAAAAAGAAAAAAAAAAGAGCATTTTAACTAACCAAAACGCGATGTTTTTTTTTTTTTTTTTTAACGAAGTGTCCCAACTTGCGCCAGACTATATCCTCGTCACTGAACCTCCGGCCCCTCAGCAGCTCAGGGAGATAAATCGTGGGATGTGCCCTTGTTGGTTTCCGGGTTTTCACACGACTTTTACTCTTTCCCCAAAGGGAGCCTCTTCACTGCCTTACAGCAACTTGCCTTCCAAGATAAATCTTGCCTTCCAAGTTGTGCCTTCCAGGAATCGAACTCCCCACGCTTGGTTCCAGAGCCACCCAATATGATTGTTCCGCCAACTTGGATGTGCCTCGGGAGGCAACCAAAACGCGATGTTACAAGTATGGAGGCAATCTGTCAGGCCAATCCATTTAAAATCATTGGGCAGTGTTAAGCATCCATTTTTCAGCACAACATTTTGACTGTGAATTCACACGGAGTTTTGTGAAGTTTTATGTAATTTGTGACCGTACTAAATAATAAATTTTGCCCTATTTGACGATCATTCTTTTAAAATAAATAAATAAAAATTCTCATACTCATTGTAAACTACACATTTTCACAATAAATATTATTTACGTAAATCTAAAACTTTTTTATGCTTTTTAACCATACGTTTTTTAAAAAAATTATTATTCAGAAGCTCATTCTTCCCAAAAAATTCTATCAAACAGGGGCTTATTTAATTAAAATGGTCCTGTTTTGCATTAGGCAGACTTATAGGATACTATAAAGTAGATAACATTAATTATAGGATTCTGTAAAATGAAATTTATAATTGTATGTAAATTTTAATTTTTGGAATGTAGTGCGCTTGCTATTTTTAGTTCCCCGTCTGGCCTTCATTTTTTCTTAAATGCATTTCTATTATACATTTAATAAGATTCACAACTTTTTATCAATTATTTTAATCACCTATCTTATCAACTTTTATCAAAATTTACTAAAATTTGATTTTGACTGAAGCAAACAGAAACCAAATATACATTGTTATTTTTATGTGCATAATATCCTATAACTTATCCCGAATCAATTATGGCTTGTCTAAATGGGGGTATTATATGTGAAAGTTTGTAATTGCAAAGTGATTATGTAAACTAATGTTTTATACATGATTTTACACATGCTATACGTTCTCTCCAAAATGCAAAAGCTAGAAACGTTGGGACGTGCTATGAGTATCATATAATTTATGAAGTAAGGAATGTTGTGAATCATGTTGAGTTCTTAGGTGATTCTTGAACAATTACGAGATATATGTAACATTTTGTTACAGTCGTCAATCAAATTTTGTTACAACGCCGTGTCACATATAATCGTATATAAGGTAGATTACATACTATGGTTTTTTTGTCATTCGTGAAATTGCAAGTGTATGTGTAAGATCCAATACTTTGGCAACTAACGTATACTATATTTTTGTCATGTTATATAAATATTGAATTGATAAATGCTTTCATCACATGCGAGGGCGCAGCTTGCCGATGGCATGTACAATGATTAGCTAGTGGTCATGAATGATTAGCCAAAAATCAATTTCAACAAGCACAAAGGTAAGAGCTTAGGAAATACATTTGTAGGTTTCTCCTCAAAATAAATTACCATGTAATGGAACGATTGCTCCTCAACTTCGATTTAGCCTTCGTTTGAGCCTATTTTTTCATCAAAATGTATTTTTAAACAATCATTTAATGTTTTTTCAATTACATATTCTTCAACAAAATAATATTACATGTAAATCCGAAACTTTTTCTTATTTTAAACCACATATTTTTCAATGATTTAACCTTCGTTTGAGCCTATTTTTTCATCAAAATGTATTTTTAAACAATGATTTAATGTTTTTTCAATTACATATTCTTCAACAAAATAATATTACATGTAAATTCGAAACATTTTCTTATTTTAAACCACATATTCTCCATTATAGCACTATTACAAAATATATTTTTTTTTGAAAAAAAGGTACTCAAACAAATCTTTAATATTGGATAAAAATATTAATCACTTACAAAGAAACCCCTGACAAATTTTCCTTTCGTTCCCTTTTAGAACCCCTTTATTTTGCGGTCAAACTGGGAGTTTAACTGTAAATTTGTTACATTTTCTTTAACCAATGCAAAAAATCATAATTTAAAGTAACTATTCTAGAGTCAATCAAACAAATCCTTAGTAGTCCTACGTTTCTAAACCTCAAGAGGATGTATTTAATTGAAACTTCTGAAGACGTTGTGGATTTTTTTAAAATGATACTTTTGTGGATTTTTTATAGATTTGTATGAAATTAGTGGAAATTTTTCGTAGACTTCTATAAATTTTTATTTATAAACATTTATAGATTTTTGAAAATTTTTCTATGTCTATGGTCACTCTATTTCCATTATATTACCTCTAAATTAGGATTGAAATAAGGGTATTCAACTAGTTGAGTCCCGTTGAAAGTGTAAAGTGTGCTAGCGCCACAATTCAGAATCTGTTTGGGAGTGATTTTGAAAATTAATTTTTTGACCGTTAGGAAAAAAGTGGAGTCCACTTGTAAGAAAAGAAATCAAATATGATGATTGAAATAATGAAATAACGATAAAAAAATCAATTTTTTGAACCAAAAAATCACTCCCAAGCAGGCTGTCATTATTCAGATACACTTTAGATAATTTCCAGTTCATTAGCGACGATTTTTGGTATCATCACCCTAAACTTTTTAAATCCCATCGAATACAGCCCCCTAATTTTGCAATCGAATTTTCAAGAGTGCCCCAAAAATTCAACAATGGCATCGTCGGAAAAGCGATGCCTGTACGAGGTGCTTGGCTTGAACCGCGACTGCACACCCGACGAAATTCGGTCGGCTTACAAGAAAATGGCTCTCCAGCGCCATCCGGATAAGCTAGTTCAGTCTGGCGTCCCCGAAGCCGAAGCCGAAGCCACAGCTGCCTTTCAAGAACTCGTCAACGCATACGAGGTTCTCTCCGACTCGAAGGAGCGTGCGTGGTATGACTCCCATCGTTCACAAATCCTATTTTCTTCCAACAATTCTTCCAAATCCTCGGGTCCTGTCCCTGATTTATTCTCTTTCTTCTCCAAGTCGGTTTACTCCGGGTATTCAGATTCCGGGAGGGGGTTCTATAAGGTATACGGGGAAATATTTGAGAAAATTTACGCTACTGAATTCAATTTTGCGAAGAGGTTAGGATTTCCATTGCCGAAGGAAGCTCCGGTCATGGGCAATTTGGAGAGTCCCTATGCTCAGGTTAGATTTATCAGCTCCCTCTTCTTATTTTTTATTCAGCACACAGTTACATTGTTATATGTTTTTAGATGTCGCAATATTTTAGATATTAGGTTGAGATAGTAAAATTATCCGATCTGGCTTGTAAGCATTGGTTTCCGTCATACTTTAAGCTTTGTCTCTGCTAGTGAATATCACTACACGGGTTAACTACCCGAATGTGGCAATCATCTTGTTGCTAAGTTTCTGCATATGTAGTAACTTCTAAAATTCACGCTTCAATATGAGATTATTGATTATTTGTATGAGTCTCACATGTGGAGCATGGTTCACATGAGTAGATGAATTTGCTGAATAAAGGATAGGAAAAAATAAAGCTGTCAGTATTTTCATTTATCTGGGTTTGGACTAGTTTTGAAAAGAATACCCAATGTGAAGTTGGAACAGAAGATTACTTTCATTTATAACAAACAATCACTGTGGCAATTTGTAACCAAGTACTTGCAACCACATCAACGAAACAAGATTTGTACTTTAGGCTGCATAAACGTCAAAATGTTTTAATTTATACTTGTCAACAAATTGGCATAGAATGAATACAAGTTTGCCCAATGCAAAGTGATTTTTTTTTTTAAACTTCCAGTTGGGTGGGGGTGAGGATACACTAGATCTGTATGAAATTTGTGCAGAGGCGATATCAAGTGAATACAATAAATCAATAAGGGTGCCATGATAAGTTCAGATTGGTAGATGGAGAAACAGCGCAGCTGCTTATTTTAGTAACTTCTGGGATGTAGATGACTTTGTTTTTCAGATTTTATTGATTGTAGAATATTGACATGTTCAATCAAATTTTGGAGATCAGGTTGATTTTGTGGAGTCAAGGAATTAACTTTATTGACAATATGTTATTTGTTTTTACGTTATATTTGTTTTTGAGATCATGGCATTTATCAATTCTCTTTATGCAGTATTTTATTTATATTCGTTATAAAAGAAATGAATTATATTTCAGTATGGTCGTTTGAGTCTTTAACTAATGATGACTAATTCTGTATTTCTTAATCAATGTACAATGATGGAGCTCATGTCAACAGGGGTTTTAACTTTCATTTGAAGATTCCTGTTGGAGTTAATATTTTGATTTTATGTTTTATATGCAGGTGACTGCATTTTATAACTATTGGTTAGGATTTGTGACATCTATGGACTTTTGTTGGGTAGATCAGTATGATGTGATGACAGGACCAAACAGGAAGTCGAGAAGGGTAATGGAGGATGAGAATATGAAGTTGAGGAAAAAGGCAAAGAGGGAGTATAATGACACAGTAAGGGGATTGGCAGAGTTTGTGAAAAAGAGGGATAGGAGGGTCATCGATATGCAGGCCAAAAGGAATGAGGAGATGGAGAAAAAGAGAGAACAGGAAAGACAGAGAAAGAAGGAGTTGGAGAAACAGAAGGCGGAGAAGGCAAGGAATTATGAGGAGCCTGAGTGGACGATGGTCGAGGAGGTGGAGAGTGAAGAGAGTGAGGATGCTGTAGAAGAGGATGCAAAGAGAAAGGAGTTGTATTGTGTAGCTTGTGGAAAGAAGTTCAAGAGCGATAAGCAATGGAAGAACCACGAGCAGTCTAAGAAGCATAAGGAGAAAGTGGCAGAATTGAGGGAAGAATTTGATGAGGAAGACAGAGAATTTGAAGAGACAGAGGGGAATGAAAGGAAGGACGAGGAAGAAGAGGAGGGTTATTTTTCAGCAGATGATGAGGTGAATGATTTACGAAACCAATTCGAGGATAGTATTGGAATTCAAGGGCAGGAGAGCGATGAGGAAAACGCTGAATCTAGCGAGGATGATGGGATTGTCGATATTGATAATGGCCGTAGATCAAGGCGAGTCAGTGCTGAGATGGAATCAGATGATGATGAAGCGAGTCTTCTTGAAGCAATGGTGTCGGGGCATAAGACCAGGAAGAAGTTAGATGCCAGGCACCAGACCAAGGTGCCTGAAAAGAAAATTCAGATGGAGGTCGATGTTGATGAGATGGATTTCATGGAATGCAACAACACAAAGGGTTCTCGAAGCAACATGGGAGGCAGGAGGCAGAGGGGTAGAACACAAGAAGAAGAAACAATAAGAGCTGATGTTATACAGGCTAATGGTAAGACAACCCATATGCAAGAAGAAGAAACAATAAGAGCTGATGTTGCAGAGGATAATGGTGAGCTTGAGGAACAGAATGGACAAGATGATGACTCCCATGTTGAGGTGTCAACATCCCATCCTCTACAAGAATCTGCCACTGAGGGCAAAGGAGATGATGCATCAATCAGTGGTCATAAGCTTCCAAAGCAAGCTGTGAACAATAAAAATACAACAAAGAAGTCTAATGCTTCCAAATTAAAGGTTGCTCCCAAAGGCAGGAAACAAAAGGTACTGTACTGTTAATTTGGTTAATTGATTTTCTTTTAAATTTTAGCTATTAATGTCATTCAACTTTTGCTGTGCTTTATAGGAGGCATGTAGTTGTGACATGATTTTTTTGTTACTGTCTTGTCCTCAAAATGTTCAATCATTACTAATATTGTACTGATTTTACTTGAGAATATCTGGGACAAAACACTTCTCCCAAATTCCCTTGACCAAACCTGGGACTATCAACAGATTCTCCAAACTGTATGCCCCCACCTAGATATATATCAGTTCTTTACAAGAAAGTTAGTTCTAGTCTCTTATGAATTGATATAACAGTGTTCAGGAAATAATTTGCTAGTCTAGAGAGTATTTTATAAGTAAACTAAATAAGTTCTAATAAGTAATGCCTTATTGATCCAATTTGGAAATAAGTTACTTATTTTGACTATAATGTATGAGTTATTTTCGAAAAAACTATTAAACTAAACAAAGTCATATTATTCAATAATGAAAAGCACATATCAACGATAAATAGAGAGTGAAACCTAGATTGTAACCCTAACTAAGAAAAAGACTGAAGTATACTTAACAATTAAAACTGAATCACAACTATGTCTATCTAACAAAAGCGCCTTGTGACTTAAAGTTATATAAACATTTTTGGGGCAAAAAGTTCCTTTCAAGTAACTCAACTTTTTTCAGTTGTTAAGCTTAGCCAAGCATGCTCAGTCTCGCTAATTGATTACTGGTTTTTCGCATTTTGATTTAGGTGGCAGCGAAAACATTTGGCAATGTCTGCGAGAAGTGTGGGAAGGAATTTGAATCAAGGTATTCATTGCTTATGCTGATTTTAATATTCTGCATATATTTTTCTTTTTCCGTGTCATTTTCTTTGTTCTTCCTGTATTTTTCATAATTTCAAATCTTCAATTTTTTGCAACAGGAATAAACTGCACAAGCATTTAGGAGAAACTGGTCATGCTTCCCTAAAATTTGAATGATTCTGGATTGCTTACGATTGACAATGCAGGTGCTACTCGTTCTTTGGTTAAGCGTGTTTCAGGCTTACTCAAGTCAGATGCCCATAGATTGGCACCATCCCAATGTCTAACTCTGAGTGAAATGAAAATCAAAATTTAAAGTCAAAATTTGATTTTGCCTTGACACCATAAGTCTCCAAGAGCAGTGTGTTCGTATACGCCCACATGGTCTTACATCGTCATAGAATCAGGGTCTGCCTGATCAGATTTTGTCACCATTTTTGTATTTTAAGAAAACACACGACTGAACTGTAAAAACAAGTTTGTGTGATGCTCCACTTGTGGGTCGCATTAAATGAGCTACCTACAAAATTGATCTATACTTTATGCTCTTTGTAGTTACATTGCAAAGGGAAAATTACAGTAGGCGTCTTTTAACTTTTTTACGTCTTTTTGCAATTCTGTTCTTAGCTTTTATTTCTTGACAGCACTCGTCCATTGCTCTAATGTTCTCGACTTTGACTGTTACTTATTCGTGGAGTTTTTGAACAAGATCTTTCGAGGTATTGTTAGAAATAAAGTTTAGGATCTCGTATTGGAATTGCACAAGGATGAGGAGACTTAAAAGAAAGATTAGAGGAATCCTGGTAAAGTACTTATGGATAGGACAAGTACAGGCTACAACATCAAAACTTATCTGATGGAATAAAGTGAAATTGAAGGGGGATATTTCATCCAATGTTCGAAGTTATCTATCTCAATGTCTCGGTTCTTATGTGGAATATCAAACATGTCTTTCAATTAGTTAAATTTGTGTCATATTTATAGGTACCAAAACTATGAAAGAACAAAAATTATTTTGTTGTATGATAGAAATTACACGCATTTACATAAACGTATATATATAGAGAGATTTAGATTGATTATGTATGAAGCGCAACTTTGTGGGAGTTGGATTTTTGGGAAGAAGTGATCTGTTGGATACAAATTGAAGAATGTGTAACAATTTGAAATTGGAGTGGGATGGCAAGAGTTGTATAGGTCAGAATACGTTGAAAAATCATTATATGAGTTAGAGCCAATACTTTTGTATCGTTGTTTCGTAGAGCTAGGAGTGAGCATTTTTTTCTCAGAATCGAACCAGAACCGTTTAGAACTAGTCGGTTCGGTTCCGGATCTTCTAAACAATGATTTGATTTTGAGACAAATTATTAAGAATCAATCGATTTCGATGTAGTTCCTGGTTTTAGTATGGGAACCGTTGGTAATGGGACGATTCTCATAGAATTCTTTATTTTTTTTGATAAAATATATAACTCAATCTTCAATCACTTTTATAAAAAATAATAGGGTTTCTTTTTTATTTTAGACTCCAACACTTTCCTTCATTTTGATTCTCTCTTCTTATAATTTTTTAATTAATTGATTCTCAAGCCAAATTAGAATATTAGGTAAATCTATACCTAAATAAATTTATTTACAATATATAATTTTATTTCTAAGATGCGAAATTTTTATTTTGTTTTCACTTTAATTACATAGTTGTTGATCCGACCGAAACTTTTTATCTAGTTTTCTATAAATTATAACTGACAGAACTAGAAATTACAATAAATTTTTAAAGGTTGTCCAATTCAATGTAGGATTTTGATTTTGATGGAAGTTTGTTTAATCATTGGAATACTATGCAATTTATATGAGTTAATGATGGTAACTTATATTATTTGAATATTGTTTTTAAATTTGTATACTTAGTTTTCTTTTAATCTTTGAATAATATGTCAGTTCTTTTATATTTTATCAAAAGTATTATATTGATAGTATCTTTAGATTTTTTATTAGTGAACATTTTATTTTACATTTGCAATGTAAAGGACATGATCGGTTCGAATGGAACTGATTGGCTCGGTTCCAGTTTGGTTCCATAGCTAACTATGAAACTAATGGTTCCATTTTTAAAATTTTCATTGGTATTCAATTCGATTTGGTTCGATTTCCTTTGGAGTTGGATCGAATCGGACCGTGCCCACTTGTACGTAGAGCATTGTTTTTTCATTTTTTGTTTGTATTTAATTAAAATTGTTTGTATGCATTAATCTTATTCAGAAAAAAAAAAAAAAGTACGTTCCCTTTCAATGGTAAATTAGTCGTTTCTGTCTAGATAGTCCAGACGACTCGTGTTTGTGATATATTACTAATATTAGCAAAGGTCGAGAATTACAACGTTTAATTTTTAAGATTTGGAATCTAACTTGTTATAAAGGTTAAAAGTTGAGACTGATTGTGCAATATCTCCTTCGATACATGTTCTACTCTCTGGCACAAAGCAATCGTCTGAAAGTTCAGAGGCAAAACGAAGAAAAAATGACGGCGCTGCCTGCTCGGAGTGAAGTCCTCTCACTTTTCCGGTCACTCTTGAGGACGTCGCGTGAATTCTCAGACTACAACATGAGGAAGTACGTCAAGCGCCGCACAATCGATGCCTTCCGCCACAACCGTAACCTCTCGGACCCAGCGGCGGTCGCCGCCGCCTTCGCTGACGGAAAGTCCCAGCTCGGCATGGCCAAGCGACAGGCCGTTCTCTATTCCTTCTACGCGCCTAGGGCGAAGAACGTCATGGAAATCAACCGTCCGTGAATCATTAATTTCATCTTTTTCATTGCAGTGGGGGGTTAGGTTTCTATTCTTTCGTTCCTCTTTAACTTTTTTGTTCTGTCGTCTGGTTATGCAAGGTAGGGAATTATCTGGTTTTTTAAATTAGTGCAAGAATACCGTGGAATTATTTTGTTCCATTGCAGTCTTCAAGAATTAATTGCGTGTAATTTATTTTTTACTCAACACTTTGAAACTTATGCTCCATGTTTCTTTGAATTTATAATAAGAACTCGTGATGACATGGGAATTTTATATTTTTTGGTTTTTGTTCATTGGTAATTCTCGTAGCTTTCCTTTATTATTTGATTATTTATATTGGCAATCTTTATGCTGTTCCCTTAATGATTGCTTTGAAGTGCTTTTTGGAAATATATAATGGATTGATGCACTTCTGGATGCGATGTTTTTCAAGGCTTCCAAATGATTTGCTTGGATATAGCATTGTAATCAGTAGTTTGTGCTCAAGTTACTTCAACAGAATCTCTTTGCGTAAAAGATAAATTTAGAGAAATAGGAATATAGATTTGGTTAGTGTGCTGATTCATATTTTTGGAATCAGCTGCAGTAATTCACATTATATGAAGGTCCATATGGGTTTTAATGCTTCGAGAAATATAGTTTTTGACTGTTGAATTTTTTGGTAGAGGCTTTAAAGGAGAATTATTTTAAATTTTCTGCTAAATCATATTTACAATAGTGAAATAGATATATCCTAACACAAGCTGCTTAAGCATGAGTAAAGGTGCCACAGATAGTTAATTTGCAACAGGAACTAAGTACTTTGATGGAGACTGTGCTATTGATAATCTGGTTTGCTATTTTATGATGTACCTTGGGAGGATGGTTAACTAAAGCACGATATTGCGGTGGACAGAGTGGAACTTTCATTTCAAGGTTAACTGGCATCAATATATTATATTGTAATTCGGACCTTAAATATTAATTTCCTCTCTAAGGAGGATCTAATTATAATAAGGATTTTGTTAAGAATTACTTACAAAATTGATGCTATTATTTTACACTGAACTGACGTTGCCATGCAATCATGATGAATTTTTCAGAAAAATTAAATAAGGTAAATTTTTGCTTCCTGCTTTGGGGTATAAAATGTTGCTATAGATGATTCACATCAAGGGTGATTTTAGCATTTCATTTATTTTTGTCATCTCCTACTTTGTTGCTTTTCATATTTAAACGTGGGTATACCTAAAGTTGACTGAAGATTGCAGAATGGAACTTGAGAGTTCGTGTTTGGAATTCTTTGATCTATTTTGATGCCATGAGTGCTTTAGAAGTCACGCATGCACAATGATTAATGGATACCCTTTGCCACTAGAGAAGTAGATGATCCTAAGTGTGAAGTATGCCTTGCTATTAGAATAAGGTCCAACAACCCAAAGTCTAGGGGTATACTGGCCCATTATTGATATAGGACAATTATATTGTAAATAGGATAAATGTTAGATCATTATAATAAGATGTTTAGTTGTAATAGGTTTTATCTTATTCTTGTTTAGAATATGATTTCTTTTCTTTATTGATTAGAGTAGGATTTCTAATTTCTTTTAGATTAGTATTTTATTTTAGTTTCCTTATATTAGTAAGATTATGGAATAATCTTGCCTATATATACAAAGACTTTGTACAGTTTTTCAAGTATCAGATCATCAATCCAATACAATAAAATTATTCGTACATAATTTCTAGATTTTTTACTTTATTCTTGTTTCAAGAATTCCAGTTCCGCTTCCACGCCAAATAAAATAACTAAATATCATTGGAAGTTAAAAAAGAATAGCAGATCTATTGAATGAAGATCTAAGTAATGAATGTAGTGAGTAATTGTCCAAAATGTGATGCCAAACGAGAGCAGAGGAGCCAAATATCTAAATATAAAATTTAAGTTTATGAATGAACTGAGTTGAAAGCTAACAGCATTTTCTAAGATAAACTACACTGGGAAAAGAAAGCTGAGGTTTTGTTAAGAGGCATGTGTATAATTAGCTCTCTGTTGTCTAATGCAGATATTTTGGTAGAGATGAAAAGTTTAAGGTTTTAAATCTTTTGTGAAAATTGAGAAGTAATATTCTTTTCGTTCTTTTTTATTTTGCTCCATGGAGTTTGTTGCCTTTCTTCGTTGCATATAACATGAGGTTTTTGAAGATTTGTGAGTTGAGAGTTCTCTTTATAAAAGCACTTGGCCCTTCAATATTAATGAAATTTCAACACGAGAAAGAGGAGCTGAATGTAGAATAACATTGCTTACATGCTAACGCCATCCTCAGTCACTTTTCCACTCCATTGCAGCACTATGTCAACATCGTTGCCGCCACCATGGTGACACCATCCCTAACATCTCCCTTACAGCCCTCAGAAATGAGAAAATACCCAAAAGACTTCCGGATTGTATTCTTGCAAACCAGTAATCTAAACTGCCACATACCTGATTTTGGCATTACCAAAAAGGTGCGTGCCAGAACGAAAAGGGCCTGGAAAGTCAGAAGTCAAATTCAGGAGATATTGTCAAGTTCTATATTTCCCATTTGGATGAGATAATTGATTGGATTGTAACCTTATCAAAAACCATTTTAGAATTAGACTTTAGATAATTGATATTGAAGGTTTGGGATGGTGGCCATGCTTTTGCGTTGGAGAAGGTATTTTCTGCGTTATTACCAATCCTTGCTCTCCCTTTTTCTCTATTATGGCTGCTTCTCTTGTTGTTTTTAGATGTTGGTTGTGATAATGTCATTTTGCTGTTTATGATTTTATTGTGGCGGCTAGGTGTCAACAGAATGTTGAAGGTGCTAATTATATGCAGTTGGGAGGAAGAATGGGAAGGAAATAGAAATCTGTATATCATTTTTTTTTAAAACGTAAATATCTATATCAGGATATTAAGACACTTGTGACTTTCTATATCAGGATATATAGGGAGTCTGTTTTTGTCCTACAATGATATAGATTTGTATAAAGTATTAATGTAATCTTCATACCTTTTCCGATTTTAACAATAAATTTTGTGCCAATTCAATTGAGGTCATCTAATTAGATGTAAGGAGTTAGTTGTTTGCCCTAAAACGGCACATCTTGTATCAAGTAATACTTTAAAATCTTCACCACCTTCTTTTATTCTTCTATTTTTCTTTCAGATGTTATAATACTAGAATTTATGAAATATATTCATTGTACTAGCAATTGAAATCTCCAAACCCACTCTTGATCGTGATTACAATCACAAGTGGAAAGCCCTCTTGTTTTCACAGCCCAAGCACTCTTACCCTTTTCCTGAAATAATAAGGATAACCAATTCCTGCAAGACTTTTTTTTTTTTTTTTTTTTTTTTTTATAAATTTTTTAGTTCCCACACAGAACAAAGATGTTCTGTATTTTCACTGCTGCTAACAGTGTTAAAATGAGAGGGACTTCAGGGATAGTTACCTACAGTTATCACTCAGCTCTTGCACCTTTTTTGTTAATTCATTGCTTGCATCACTAATGGTTAATTGATATTTTTTTAGAAAGAAACTGATATTTATCTTTCAACAATGTTGAACAGAACAACCATGTGGATAAATGAACAAGAACAGACCATATTATGGAGTTAAAAAAAGTTACTATGAGATTTTAATTTTATTGTCCATTGGAATGAAGTGTTCTTCCTGTAGCTCATGAATTTTGCCTTAGTAATTGGGTGTTATGATATTTAGTCCTTGTCAATTTCTGGCTATAACAAATGAAATAATCTTCCATGAACTGTTAGTGCTGAACTATTTATGGGTTTCTGCATGAAGTGCCATTGGTTATTTCTATTATTAAAATAGCCTAATCTGTTGTCTGGAGGATTAAGAATAATACATGCAGGTCCTTAGTTAATGATACCCCCTTCTAGAACCTTTTTCCAGTAGACCAAGAATATTAGCTTGCGTTATAGTTCGAGATCAATATGGAGGTTGCGCCTTTCTGTTCAGTGTACTTCAGTCTGTCCGTCGATGTAATTTCATGGTTATTGCTTAATACATTGATAAGGCATTCAAAATTTTTTTTTTTTTTTTTTTTTTTTTTTTATAAATTTTTTAGTTCCCACACAGAACAAAGATGTTCTGTATTTTCACTGCTGCTAACAGTGTTAAAATGAGAGGGACTTCAGGGATAGTTACCTACAGTTATCACTCAGCTCTTGCACCTTTTTTGTTAATTCATTGCTTGCATCACTAATGGTTAATTGATATTTTTTTAGAAAGAAACTGATATTTATCTTTCAACAATGTTGAACAGAACAACCATGTGGATAAATGAACAAGAACAGACCATATTATGGAGTTAAAAAAAGTTACTATGAGATTTTAATTTTATTGTCCATTGGAATGAAGTGTTCTTCCTGTAGCTCATGAATTTTGCCTTAGTAATTGGGTGTTATGATATTTAGTCCTTGTCAATTTCTGGCTATAACAAATGAAATAATCTTCCATGAACTGTTAGTGCTGAACTATTTATGGGTTTCTGCATGAAGTGCCATTGGTTATTTCTATTATTAAAATAGCCTAATCTGTTGTCTGGAGGATTAAGAATAATACATGCAGGTCCTTAGTTAATGATACCCCCTTCTAGAACCTTTTTCCAGTAGACCAAGAATATTAGCTTGCGTTATAGTTCGAGATCAATATGGAGGTTGCGCCTTTCTGTTCAGTGTACTTCAGTCTGTCCGTCGATGTAATTTCATGGTTATTGCTTAATACATTGATAAGGCATTTGAGAAGTCAAGCAATGAAATTACTGACACGGGTTTCAATGAATACTTTGCAAACAAGTCAACTTTTAACTTAACCTGCTCTTGTGATCTTTTTGGATAGACTACTATACTAATACAGTACACAAGCATGCAAACATTTAATGTGGGTTATTTCGTTTGGTAGAAAATTTTATGATTTGCGGTTGTTCGGAAGAAATCTGAGGGAAGAGGCTGCATGCCATTATGATTTTCCAGATTAATATTTTATTTAGTTTTGTTAAAGTCCTGTAATAGCATTTACCGCCTTCTATTATCTAATTATACCTTTCTACAGGAAATGATATTTCAGGAATTGGTTAAAGAACTGGGGACATTAGGAAATTGTGAAGAGTGGCTACATCTTTACCATGAGAAGATAGGTGAATGAAATTTATCATGTATTGGAAGATTTACAACTGTTTTTTTTCGTGAGAATACATAAATATGTAATGAAATATTCTGCTTGCTGATTTTGGAAATAATATCGTTAGATCTGTTACATGGTACATGTCTGGCTTGTGCTGTGTCATGGTATTTACTCGTCTGTTCACGATTTCTTCTATGAAATTTTATGTTACTTTTTACCAGTTTAGCCACAATGTCCATATCCATTAGTTCGACTAATGGAAAATGTAATGTGGCGGTTTATCTATATGTCAACCATATTGCCAATTAGACTTTCACTTAGAAACAATATCTAAGTGAGGAAGGTGTGGACACCCAATTTAGCCAAAAAAAAATATCGGAACTGTTTTTCTTTTCCATGCTAGATTTAATAAACATAAAAGACCATTTGATACAAAAGCTTAGTGAAAAGCGTAGTATGCATTTTATCAACACCATAATTCATAATGAAAATGTTACATAACAGAGAAGAATTATGAACTTTATTTCTCCGTCTTCCTTCTATTGAGATGTAGTCCCGTGCATTTGGTGAGATTGACAGAGAAATAATTAGTATCACAAGGAATTGTCTTGCCTGTGTTGAGAGGTGCATAATTTATGGCCACTGGTGTTAGTTGTGCAGTGGATTTGGCCCGCTTGGTACCAGTCGTTTCTCGACACCGTATCTCGGGTCAATCTCAGTATCTTGCTCGTAAGGTGGTTGTGATGGTGGCGGCAGAGGTGGTTTGTGGTTCCGTGTATTTTGTAATCTAACATGTGGTGGACTTTGAGGAGAAGAGAGGGCTGCGGCCGCCGCCGCCGCCGCCATGAGGCAAATTAAAATGCCTAGAGAAATCCTGCGACCCGCAGTCGTGGTGGCGGAAGGAGGTGGGCGCTTCATGCTGGCGGGCGTGTAATAGGGAGAGGACAATGCAGAAATGTCCTTGTAGTGTGAAAAATGGAGAAGAGGATGGCAAATAGAAAGTTGTAAATAGTAGTTAAAATTCTAGCAAGTGATCCATGAACAATGTACTTAGCTCCATAAATGCTGTAATCAATGAGGGGTTGTTTTCTGGTGCCAGAAAAGAGGCAAAAGATGTCTTTCTTATTAAGGTTGATGCCATCCGCATTCAGACGTCAAGTAATGGTTCCATTTGATATATTTGCTAATTATGGTGACGCATTTTGTTATGAAACGCATTTAGGACAAAGATATCGGGATATTGCGGGTGTAGCACACATTGAGGATGAGTTAAGAGAATGACAACTCGGTTAACTTCAAAAGAGTGACGCAATCTCAACATGAAAAGTTTAGAAGGGGAAGACATTTATCTATAAAAGTGATGCGGTTATAAGAGGAGATGTCATTTACAAGATTGACACAATTTCAGTAGAGCATGACTAAAGAGGATGGATTAACAGATTTCACTGAAAATCACTACAATTCTTAGAAGCATGAGACGTATATGTTAGATGTACATTCATATGACCCGCTTTTATCTTGAATCGTATCATGACGCACTTAAGGACGTATCTTCGGAATGATAAAAACAAAGCATGCTGCGGTTTCTCAAGATCTTATGGTCTTGAATTTTTTAGCAATGAATTGAACGGATGATCAAAAGAGATTCATGCTATCTGATAAAGCTTACAGCCTGACATCCTGGATCTTAGCGCTTGCTTAATCATTCTTAAAAATTGTCCTTTTGAAAAGTAGATAAAGTAGGAATCACAATTACTGCCTAAGACATACTTTTGAACCCCCAAAAGTAGTGAATCCCAGTACTTAAATAAGTACAATACTGTATGGTGGCAAGAGGAAATTCTTGGGATGGGCAATGCAAAATGTACCAATAAATAACTCTTCCTTTCCTTTCAAAACTAGCGCAATTTCTTTTTGTGCAGGTCCAGTTCATAATGAAAAGAGGAAATGAATTAAAATTTCACCAATGCAATGGTCTGTCTTCAACAAGAAATTCCAAGTTGACGCTAGGATTTTGATTGATTTTTGCCTGACTGTTAGTGAATAATAAATAAATCATTTTGAAGGTACAGTAAGTGTTACTTTAAAAATAGTAACTTTTTTTTACTTAAATGTAAGAAAAAATATGACATGTATCCCTTGGAATTTGGTTCAATCTTGATGATAATACTGCACTGAAGAAATCCACTTTCATACACAGAAGAAATCATTCGAACAAGTATTAGCATTTACCAATCAATCAATACTAGCCATGTAAATCCAGTATAATCCGAAAATTATAGTATCAGGTTATACTTCTACGTATCGATGTAAGGATTATGTACATAGCGAATATAAGAAAGTTATACGCACGAAGAAAATCACAGCGGAGAATAGCGTCTCATCAAACCAATATCAAACCGCAGATTTATACAGCCTGGATTATCTATTTTCCAAGCAGACGACGCCCACGCCTAGTGACATCTTTCACTCGGATTGCCACGTGATCCACATCATCCTGTAAAGGATCCAATGCTTTGTTCTGCCTGCAATTTTAGAAGACGTGTTGCATAAATCCTTGGGATTTCAAGAGATGGGGGAGAGAGCCAGGAGTTCACGAGGTTTAGCATAAGCGTAAAAACTCACCTCTCAATTTCAGAACCCATGTCAATAGCCATATCCTTAAGCTCTCCTAAAACATTGCTTAGATCTGAGAGGTTGTCATCTTGTTTTACCTTTTCGACCTGTCATAATTCCATTAAAAAATAAATGTACGGTTATCGATGCATGCATACAAACACACACATTCTGACATAAAAATGTAAAAAATAAAATTTAAATGTTTCTAATGAGCTTGAATAAGGGATGTATTAACAAGTTACACATTTTAAACCACTAATTAAGATCCAAAACACTGACTATCTGATTTCTGCTAAGTTAGGAGTTGTTCAATTTGCAAAATTACCCAGAATAGGAAAGCCAGCCACCAAAACAGAATTCTACCTAGATAAAGATTAAGAATTACCTATTTGATTTCTATTTTGTTGAAAGAAAAGAACTGAAAAAGTTAAAAATGGTGGGCGGGTGGATCAAATAACATCATTTTGCAAAATTCCGGTCGGTTATCAACACCTTCATCCCTGACCACCCACTTCTCTGCCACTCCATTCATAATGGAAGACAGACAGCTCAAGAAGAAATCATCGACAGAGTTTTTTAAGGGAAGACGGTAGCAAATATGTTTTAACTAGACAGGTCTGGACATGATTACAGAGGAGGAATGGAAGAATTGGAAGCTGAAGACAAAGGGAAAATGGAGACGGTAGAAGTGAGCTGGCAGTGGTGATCTGTTGGGTAATAATAGTCTGGATCTAGTGAGAGTTGCTAACAATTTGAACTATCGAGGGATTCATGTCCGAAGATTTGACAAAGTTTTACCCTAGCGATCAACCTTGCTGCCTTCCCCCTTTACTCAGCTTGGTACCTACTGGGGCTATGACAAAGTTGACAACAAATTGATGAAACAACATAAGATCTGCGAATGACAGAGAGAGACGAGGAGGAAGATAGTGGTGGTGCTTGGGGCTAAGGATGATAGTTACTGACAGTGGTCCATATTTGTTGGCAGTAGTAACTAAGTCAGTGTAGAGAGGATCAATGATTATAGGACAACCTAACGGATCTCACTTTTAGACAGGGATATGATAGTTCTGAAAACTGCCCTGACTGATCTTTACTTGGGAATAGTGTTCCCCATGGGAAGTTAGTACAACAAAAATGAACCAGGGAAGAGAAGGAATGGCCACTCATGAACAATGGGGCCTCAGATCACAAATTTTAAGATTAGCATAACACATACAACAAGTTGACCAGCTTGGGATTACTTCAATGTCAAGAAACGATAAAAGACTTGACAGCTCTTCATCGACAAATCTGGATTTTGCGATCCTAGGAAAGATTGGTTAAGGATGATGGGATCCATTTTATATCAGAAAAGAAGGGTGACACCATGATTTTTAGTACTCCACTCTACCAGCTAACCTACCCAGACCAAAGGAGGTCTTGTATTTGAATTGTACCCATTATCCTTCGAAATGGAATGCTCCTCATGTCCCCTTTGTATCATTTGTCTTATATGGAGGGCTATTCCAACAATTATTACACAAAAACTTCAAGAGAATGTAAAAACTTCCAACATTATTACACAAAAGAGAGACTCTTTAAGAGATAATCACAACTCAACTTTTGGTATAATCCTCCATCACAACATACCTCAACTTTCTGCAGTGCATTTGTAGGTTCAGGAGGTGGTGTTCGTGATGGTCGTTCCTTTGAGGAAGAAGTCAATCCCAGTCTTTCCCTTTGCTCCAAGTGGTTACCCTTTCTATGCACTGGATCATCTGTGGTAGCAGATGTGTTAGATCACAGGCCAAAGTCAAAAGTCAGATTAAAATTAACCTACTCATCAACAATTCATATGCACCAAATAAATGTTTGATATGCAGTATTAGATAGGACTAGACGATATAATAAAAAAAAATTTGTTTCTTTTTTCTTCCTTAATATTGTCCAGCTATTTTCAATTTCTACCGAACATGACAAAAGAAGCCACCATTCTACACATTTAAAACTGAACTCTTATCAATGATATTGACCAAGAAGATGACAAGTACCTCGAGCGATTACAGGCCCTTTTATTGGAGGACCCTTTTTAGGCTTCCATGTCTTCGAGAACATGCCCCCAAGACTTCCCATCAGTTTCTCGCCCTAAAATCAATTGGTAAATAGTTTAAATAAGCAATCACGGAAAGTTGATAAAGCTTAGACAACAACATTTATACGTAATCACAGGTTAAATTGATAATGCAATCAATATAGATGTTACGTACAAACCTATAAAATAACTCTAATTTTTTTGTCTTTGAATTATCCATCAGTTTAGTTAAGATTGAATAAAATGCGCAATGCAATAAAATAGTTCTTACGAAAACTCCTAAAAACAAGGATGAACTTGAAGCAACATATAATCAACACCCATCGAACTTTTACCGGAGGAAAAGAAAAAGACTGAAAATAAAATATTAGAGCATATATTTCATTAAGGCACTTTGTTTCTGCTTTAGTGGAAATCAAACAATGCTGCAGAAAAGGGGAAAAGGATTAAACTTTCAAATGCGGGTTCCTGTCATGTCTCCTGGATAAGCTTACATCATATAAGTATATAAGTAAGTTTTTAAATAAACAAATTTCACATGCAGCTTTCTGTTGTGTCTCCTGAATAAGCTTAAATTGTATAAGCATATAAGTAAGTTTTTAGATATAACTTTCTTTATAAGTTAAAGTTGAATAAAACTTTAGCAAATTAAAATGATATTAAATTAATACGTCGCTACTTTCAAAATAAATAACTTTTTCACTTTAAAGTAAGAAGAAGTAATTAATCGAAACATGATTTGAAATTAAAAGTAACTTTTTATTTCCTTTAAGCACAGCGAAACACGCTCAATCATTCATGTCAAAACAGAATACGAGTTGCAAAGTTGAGAAGTCGTACCCTACTAAGGTCATGGTCCATGTCAGCAGCAACCATGTGGGTTCTTGTAATTTGCTCTCCTTGCTGATGTAAGGTAACTAAGGTTTTAGTAGCATCTTCCCTTATGTCCTCTGCAATCTTGAGACAATTGTCGACAGTCTTTGTAGTCTCTTCAGCCTTATATACAGAATAATTTTCCAGTTCTTGTACACTCTGGGCATCAAATCCTCCGGAATCGTGAAAATCGTTCCTGTACCCGTTTCTTTCTGCTGAAGTAGTGGAGCTTTTGGATGATGTGGTTTCCTTAATCTCATCATCATCAAAAAGCTTAGTACGTGAATTTAGGGTAACTAGAGAAGGATCCGAAGATGTTCGCCTAGAGGGTTCAAGGGTTTGCTTGTTATCCAAAGAATCATCATCAAAAGGGTTAGTACTGAAATTACTGGGGACTTGGTCCTCTGACTTGTGTTTAGAAAACCTATGTAAGGGAGATTTCTTATGATCAAACATTTTGTACCAGCAAAAGAATGTAGGATAAAATTAGGCTTTTCTTAGCTTTGTAACCTGCACAGTTAATCAACAAATAAAGTCGTTGTAAAAGACCCTGCTTACAATCGAGGAAATTGAAACATAATCCATAAGAAACAAACAGGCCAAACAATTGCCATAATGATTCATTGAGTCCACCAAATCGATCAGAGAAGGAAAACAAATACTATTCAGCAATACTTAAAATCGACAATTAAGTGAGAATAAAAAATCATGCAAGTTAAAGGATATGGTACCACACTAATGAACAATAAGCTATAATGCAAAAACGGAATAAGTGAGATCGAAAAAGTTCCAGGTCCCTTTATTTTCTCAATGTTGTAAAGAACATGCAGTCAAGGTATCAATCCAAAGAAGATACGAAAAACATTCAAATGAGAGAGGGGGGG